ATTGAAGAGAAAACCCACAGAATGGGAAAAAATCTTCACCAGATACATCTGACAGAGTTTTAACATTCAGAATATATAAAAAACTCAAGAAACAAAGAATTGAGAGACCAAATGACCCAATTAAAAGATGGACTAAAGATCTAAACAGAGTTCTCAAAGGAAGAAATAAAGATGGCTAAGAAACATCTAAAAAAGTGTTCAGCATCATTAGTAATTAAGGAAATGCAAATTAAAATCACTCTAAGGAATCACCTTACCCCAATCAGAATGGCTAGGATCAAGAGAACAAACGATACCAAATGCTGGCGAGGATGTGGAGAAAGGGGAATGCTCATTCACTGCTGGTGGGATTGCAAACTCGTGTGACCTCTATGGAAAACAGTGTAGAGAACTCTTAAAAAGCTAAAAATGAACCTATCATATGACCCGGTTATATCACTCTTTGGCATATACCCAAAGGACTCATCCTATTGTAGAGACACTTGTACAACCATGTTTGTTGCTGCTCTTTTCACAATAGCTAAGAGATGGAAGCAACCTAAGTGCCCCTCAACTGACGACTGGTTAACAAAAATGTGATATATTTGCACAATGGAGTTCTATTCAGCAGTAAAGAAAGATGAAATAATGAAATTTGCAGGTAAATGGATGGATCTAGAAACTGTTAAACTAAGTGAAATAACACAGACTCAGAAAAACAAACGATGTATGTTCTCCCTTATATGTGGCTCCTAGCACCAAATGCTTTTAAATTTCAGGTCCTTTTAATAAGAAGATGCTATACAGTAACCCTTCTGCATGAAATAAGTACCATTATCATGACTTCGGCTAAGCCTGATCACTAAACATAGTCACAACTGGGCTTGCTGACAGTTGTGCTCGTTCATTAAAGGAGTGCCAAGCAGGGTCACTAGACCGTCACCTGAGTATCCAGCCACTCTTCCCAGCCAACTAGTCCAGCCTTGGAAGACAAAAGAAAAATGAGGAAGAACCCAATAGAGG